AGCTCTAGCCAAGATGCAATGCCAAAATCACAGCTCATTAGGAAATACCAATTTCTTCAGACTAGACACATAAAACAATGTCTCCAAGCTTAATCACTTACTTTGATGCAAAGAAATTAGAGCTTTGAAACTGGATTAAACCCTGTTTAAATTAAAAAAGATTTTCAGAAACTCAGAGGTTACAAACAAATTTGAGATTCTTATCTACACAACACTATTATCTAAGCAACAATTTCTTTCAGGTTTGGGGTTTTTGTTCTGCTGCACAATTTTTTTCATGCTCCCAGCTTAAGAAACTAAGATTTTCATTTGAAAACACAGCAAAGAAAACCCTTTTTCTAATGCAAGAGATTTAACTCAAATATCACTGGACTACTCCATGTATTATTTGAGAGTCTTATCAATATGTAGTGAATGAAACATAACGATACGTACAGTTCAAGAGACAAACCAGCAGGTTTTGAGATTATAATTACTTTGAAAAGATTGCAGAATAGAACAAAAGTACTTTAAAACAATATAGAATCATAGAATAGTCAGGGTTGGAAAGGACCTTAAGATCATCTTGTTCCAACCCCCCTGCCATGGGCAGGGACATCTTGCACTAAACCATGTCACCCAAGACTCCCTCCAACCTGGCCTTGAAGACCACCAGGCATGGAGCATTCACAGCTTCTTTGAGCAGCCCATTCCAGTGCCTCACCACCCTCACTGTGAAGAACTTCTTCCTTATATCTAATCTAAACTTGCCTTGTTTAAGTTTGAACCCATTAACCTTTAAGCCCCCTTCCCATACAGACAGGCTGCTATGAGATCTCCACGCAGTCTTCTTTAGGCTGAACAGCCTCAACTTCCTCAGGCTGTCTTAATATAGGAGGTGCTCTAGCCCACTTATCATCCTCGTGGCCCTCCTTTGGACTTGCTCCAGCAGCTCCACGTCCTTTTTATGTTGAGGACACCAGAACTGGACACAGTACTCCAAGGGAGGTCTCACAAGAGCAGAGCAGAGGGGCAGGGTCACCTCCTTTGACCTGCTGGTCACGCTTCTTTTGATGCAGCCCAGGATACGGTTGGCTTTCTAGGCTGCAAATGCACACTGAAGCCAGCTCATGTCAAGCTTCTCATCAACCAACACCCCCAAGTCCTTCTCTGCAGGGCTGCCCTGAATCTCTTCTCTGCCCAACCTGTAGCGGTACCTGGGATTGCCCTGACCCAGGTGTAGGACCTTGCACTTTGTTATGTTGAACTTCATGAGGTTGGCATCAGCCCACCCCTCAAGCGTGTCAAGATCCTTCTGGATGGCATCCCTTCCCTCCAGCGTATCAACCAAACCACACAGCTTGGTGTCGACAGCAAACCCGCTGAGGGTGCACTCAATCCCAATGTCCAAGTCGCTGACAAAGATGTT